AGCTAGGCTGACGCCATGGCACTCACTCTAGCCCGGGGAAAAGAGTGAGACTCTGTCTCAAAATAAATAAATAAATAAATAAATACCTTTCACATACATTTTCTCATTGGTGCCTCCTATTCTTTCAGGGCAGATGCCTTTATCCTATTTGTGCAGATGGAACAACGAAGTCCCAGAGGGGCTATGCCATCTGCTTGTGCCATACAGCAAACAATCAGAGCTGGTTTTTAAGCTCAAGTCCTGTGTTTGAAAGACATTTTATCTGCCCCTTAATGGATCTCTAAATCAAATCCATAAGTCCCAGACATTTTTAGAAAGTCTGCCCATTTTTACTCTACTCTCCCTCTTCTTAAGGTTTTAATTATATTCACAACCTGCATTGTCTCCTCTATTTTTTTTCACCTCTGATTCTCTACTTAAGGCTAGAATTTATCCTTGGAATAATCCCTCCTGTTTGATTATTTGGGCTGTAGTTAGGAGCGTACTCAGATTTTATGGTTTGAAGGGAGATTTTGTTAGTAAAGGAATCATAGGTTGAGTGGTCCATAGCAAAACTTAGAGTGGGAAAAATGGTTATAAGACAGAGTTCTCTAAATTAAAATTTTTATGTTCTGGGGAATATTTGTTCAGCCATCAGAGTCTTCATCCTTTCAGCTGTGTGTTCTCATGTACTTGGAGTTTGAAACGTAGAGAAAATATCATGGTTTAAAGATAAAGGGAAAAATAAATGACTAGTTTATAAATATAATCAGTGGGGCTCGCTGTTGGTTCTGGGCAAGGTTCATGTTTGGCTTTCAGTTTTCCTGATCGAGGTTATTCTACATGTAGAAAAAGAGAAGTCATTGTATATTCTTTGCATTTGTATAAAGGGGTTTCAAGGATGGAGCCATACCATGTGACCATTGTTCCAATAAAATGGGTGTCCTATCTTTTTCAAGGTTAATGTGTGGCCTAGGCCCTAGCCCAAAGATGTGACATAATTTGTATGCAACCAAGGGTTTCTTTTTCTGTCTTTTAGTTTGTGGACAATATTTCATCTCGAGAAGAAGTAGACCATGCAGAGTATTACCTTTACAAGTAAGTTTTCCATTTGATTAGGCTATGTACTCTGTCATTTCATACTCCTTTTTAACACGAAAAAGTGGTATGTTAAATATAGTGTTCAACACCCGGCTTTTTAAGTTTAAATTTTAGAGATCTTTCCACGTAAGTATGTAGAAAACTTCCTCATTTTTTATAACTACATCGAATTCCATACTATGAATATATTATTTAAACCAGTTCCCTATTGAACGACCTTTAGATTGTTCTCCTTTTTTGTATTATATATAATGCTATAGTTAATAACCTTATACATATGTAATTTTGCACATACTTCTCAGGAGTATCTGCATTTGTAGTTTTAATAGCTCTGACAAATTTCTTTCTGTTGAGGTTTTACCAGTTTTCATTCCCACCAGTAATGTATGAGAGAGGTCTAATTTTAGAGCTCATCTAACAGTTGGATATTTTCACATTTTTGAATTTTTTTTGCCAATCTGATTGGTGAAGATTTATTTATATACACCCCCTACACACCACACACACGCACACACACATGCACACAAGTTGAGTATCCCGTATATGAAATGCTTGGGTCCAGAAATGTTTTGAATTTTGGATTTTTTTAGGTTTTGGAATATTTGCATTATGCTTACAGTTTGAGCATCCCTAACTGGAAAATCTGAAATGCTCAACGAGCATTTGCTTTGAGCAGAATGTCAGTCCTCAAAATGTTTGGGATTTTAGAGCTTTTTGGATTAGGGATACTCAATCTTGTGTGTATAATGTGTGTATATATATATCTTTTCTCTCTTTCTTGTACAGATGGAAATATACTTTATATGAACTATTAGACATCTATTTTCAGTTAACATTGTGTTTTAAAATGTTTTCTACATTACCACATTTACTTTATTCTTTCTCTCAGCTGAGAACAATTACATTGTGAACGACTCACAAAACTCATATGTACAAAGAAGTATGTTCGGTACTGCACTATCTATAGTAGCAAAATACTGGAATAACAATGCATGTTAAATAAAGGACTGATCAGATAAATTATGATTAATCCTTTTAGTTGATTTTTCACTTATCAAATATCTGTTAGAATGGTACCTTACAGTTACATTTTTATGGTGACTCCTGTTTTAAAAATCTGATTTATGATTTGTTCCAATTCCTGAGTTCTAAAAATAGACTCCAATTGAAATTTAAAATGTTTCCAATAAGCATTATATTAGAGTTTTCCATTTGAACTTGCTTTGTTTTGATCAAGAGAATTTTTAGTTATTTCAATCTAGGTGCATTTTTAAAAGCTTACTCTATTTTAGTGAAAATTTATTCAATTTTCTTTGATTTTGCTAAATAGTGATTAGGCTTCTTTATTTCTCAATTGGGTAGATGCTACCACCTTTTTGGTGTTTTCTATTTAAATATAAATCTCAAGTAGGCTAGATTTCACACCTTAAAAAACATTTACTGTAAAGTTAAAATTGCCTTTAATAGTGTCCCAAGTTTAAATTCTAGGTCCCGAAATCATAATTCCAAATGCCTTCTTATATACTTCATTAAGATAAACATAAATGGATCCCTTGATGAGAGCTAGTCCTGCCTTCCTTTAGTGGCTCTTTGGGACTAGGGCTGGTTTGGTAGTAATTTTTTGTCTATGGTGAAGGGTATATGTGGCTTCTGGCCTGTTCTCATTCTTTTGCTTTGTTTATAGCAAAATGCAGAAAATAGTTCCAACTTCTAAATAGAAACTTTTTAATAGACTTTCATCTTAAGAGACACAGTGCCATAGTCTTAGAAGAAATATGCCCCAAATGTGCAAGTACTTCTCTAGCATATAATTGATTTCAGTGATTCGGAAAATATTTACTGAGTAACCTATTATGTGCCTAGGCCCTGTCCAAGGTGCTGGGCATGTAGTGATGAATAAGTTGGACACTGTCCCTGAACTCGGACATTAAAGTAAAACTGAAAATTTGAAGTCCTAGCTCCAAGACCTTCCATGATTAATTCTTCACTTGATATTCAGATTTGTGTGGCCTGGAGTATAACTGAAAGTTTCATAAAATTGCTATGTCCTGTATGCATATAGATGTTATAGAGGACTCCTGGCCATCCTGAATCTGAGCCACTGTTTGATTTGACATCCCATCCTTTGCTTTAATAAAAACTAATGTTCTAGCTATGATTTTTCACTTTTTTAGTTCTATTCTTTCTCCTCCCTTCCATTACCAAGAAAATTGGCTTGCTTTTTCTCAGCTTATTTTTTTTAAATAGATAAATGTTTTTATGACTTCATGAGATTGTTGTGTGAGATTGTTGTGTATGTGTGAGACTAGGTAGAACTCTACAAAGCTGCATCTAAATAATGGAGGTTGGCTAGGCTCACTCACTAAGTGTCTCACTCCTGCTTTTCAGCCTTAGTATACAGAACATGAATCAGCAAAATTAAAAGTTACAAGTTATGAACGCTTGAGATTTCTCTCATGTAATTGAAATTAGGGATGTTAATCTTGAAGACACCAGGGGCTTACCGCTCTGTGCTATTTCCACTGGTTAGATCTTCAGTGGTTGTGGTTGATGCCAAACATCCCCATGTGGCATTACTTTAGACATCTCAGAGTAAACTTAGAATCACAGGGCTAGGATGAGGAAATGTCGAAGGAACTTCTGAATTCTAGACAACTCACAGCTTCTTTCAGGCCTGACTTTAGGAGTTCTCATTCCCCAGGCAGCACTGTCTTTAAGAGTAAAGCCCATGGCAGGACTTTTGCATTGGGTCAACTCTCACTCTGCCACAGCTGCCACATCTTCCCCTCTTCTAATGATCAAATCTCTGCACTGATTATATGAATACCAGAGCCAAGGAAGTTTGGAAACCTTGAATGATCAGTGGAGAGCTGGCTGAGCTTCTGCCCTGCATCACGTGCACAAGGAAGCAGTTCCAAGTTCCAGCAGTTCGGGGCATTGCTGGCATCTGCCAGCTTATCATCCTATCATTCCAAGAGAGATTTTGAACCTCTGAATCTCCTGAAGTACACCGTTTAAGTGTTTAGGGTCTTCAACATTAAAGGGCACCGGGAATCTTTTAAAGAGAGATGGGAAGACTGCTATTCAGACAGCAGGAGGGAGAACAAATATCCAAACACTCTTATTTGAGCTGTGGGTTATTATCTTTTACCCTGCTGTTTGTAAATGAAAAATGGAAACACCAAGGAAAGGGAAATGAAGTTCTAAGCCAAATGTGAACTGAAGAGAATTAAGACAGTTAATACCAGAAACAATGTAAGTTGACCAAAAAAAAAAAAGAACCCACTTAATAATACTCTACACATCGCAAGTGCAAATAAGCCCAGAGTAAAGGTGATCAAAACAGTAAAAAGGTTAAAACAAAGTAAATTAAAATGTGAATGCTAAGAAACAAGAAAACAAGGCATCCTTGGGGCTATAACAAATGAAGAACACTTAACTATAATAAAATAATAAATACAGTAAAATGAAATAAGAAGGACTTGAGTTGGGGACTTCATTCAATATGTGTAGTTTAGGCCAGGAGGTTGGGAAAATAGGCATGAGTGTGGTCTTACATGGATACTCTTAGCAGGCTAAATGCGCAACCTTTTTATGACTGGTTTTCAAGCTGTCTTCTGAGAAGCCCTGGAGCTGGTTTCCCACGAAGGCCTCAGGGGCATGTGTTGGAGGAAGAGTAAGTTAGGAGGGAGAGGACAGGCCATGCTGCCACAGGTCATTTGCTTCTGCTTCTGTTTCTGCCAGAAAAGCTGTGCCTCCAGCTGCTGCTTTATTGAAGTCTGCAAACTGGAATAAGAAGAAAATTGTGGCCGGGCGCGGTGGCTCACGCCTATAATCCTAGCACTCTGGGAGGCCAAGGCAGGCAGATCGTTTGAGCTCAGGAGTTCGAGACCAGCCTGAGTAAGAGTGAGACACCATCTCTACTGAAAAAATAGAAATTAGCTGGACAACTAAAAATATATAGAAAAAATTAGCCGGGCGTGGTGGTGCATGCCTGTAGTCCCAGCTACTTGGGAGGCTGAGGCAGAAGGATTGCTTGATCCCAGGAGTTTGAGGTTGCTGTGAGCTCGGCTGACACCACAGCACTCTAGCCCGGGCAACAGAGTGAGACTCTGTCTCAAAAAAAAAAAAAAGAAGAAAATTGTATGTCTATTTTCACATCCTCTCAGTAATATGTAGCATTGCCTCCAATTATAAATGTAGGCAACAGATGACTATAATATTAACAGCATCCGTGTCTTTCTCACTAATAAAAATCATTGATTTTTCATATCACATTACATTTATTGCACATATCTTGAAAAATCATGCTTATCACTGCTTAGAAATTATATTAGTAATTAAATCTAGCTAGTACTGTCTCATACATTAATAAAACAGCACATATATTATCATAGTTTAAGGATTTCTTAATATCTTGATAATTGTATTTCAATATAATTGGTTTGTGTTGTGAGAAACCAATTCTGAAAATTCTGAGATGCCTTTATCAGACTGTCAGAGAGTTTAAGACACGAAAAAATTGTTAAGAACCCTACTATGAGATCTTGTTTGAAAGATAGGTTCTTTGTCTTAGGCTTATTCCTACTTCTTTCTCCTGGCTTTTTGAAGTACTCTAGGTCTTTGTTTTCTCTTCTTATAAAGAAGACTTTCTTTTCTTATTTTAGACCTTATAGAGTAAGACAAGCATATGGTTGCTAGGTGTTCTGTCCTCCAAATGAAAACTTTGATACAGCCAGTCTCCCATGTTTCCCTGCAGGAATAGGAAGAAGGTGTGGAGGGAAATAAAAGAATTCAGACAGGCCCTGAGATGCTGTCTCTTATAGTGCTGGGATGGGACTGGGCAGGAACATTTCTGCTTTGTTTTGGTATTGCCGTCACCTAGTGCTTGGTGAGGTAAGAAGCCATGCTATTTCCCTGCAATAGCAGCAGAGAAGTTCTGTGATGTGGGAAAGAGAACGATTAGAGATATTAGCTACCTGGAAAGGGCTATTCAC